ACCCAACGGGGTACTCAAAGTAATGAAATCTGGCAGATGGATGTGTTTCATTTTTGCAGAATTTGGAAAATTAAAATATGTATATTATAATATATATATATTCAGTATTTCAATGGGCAACTGCTTTGAGTTCTGAAAAGGCTGATTCAGTAATCCCACATTTGTTAGAAGTTATGGTGATCATGGGAATCCCTGTACAAATAAAAACAGACAATGCTCCATGATATGTCTCCAGTAAAATGAAACAGGTTTTGCTTGTTACAATATAAAGCATAATACAGGTATACCACACAATCCTAAGGGCAGTTATAGAAAGATAAAATCAAACTCTGAAGGATATGCTAAATAAACAGAAATGGATAATAAGTAACCCCAGAAATAGATTACATAGAGCTTTATTAACTTTGAATTTTCTAAATGTTAATGAGAAAGGAATGACAGTTGCAGAGAGACACTGGATAATAGAAAAACTCCTGAATTAAATCAAACTGTATACTTTAAAGATGTGTTGACCTCAGAATGGAAACCAGGATATGTGTTATGTTGGAGAAGAGATTTTGCTTTTGTTTCTACAGAAGAAAAGCTATGGATACCATGAAAATGAATAAAGATTAGATTTGAACAAGAGAGACCTCATAAGTAGAAGAAATGATAGTTCATCAAACAGGATGGCCATTTAATCTAAACTAATCTATAAAACTAACAAATGTTCTTCATTTGGTCAGATATAACTTGCCAAAAGGGAACCTCCCCAAAGTAAGTGCTGGGGCAGGGTTTTGTTTTTGTCTTTACAGGAGAATGAAGGCATCCAACTAAGGAGTCTGGAGACCACTGGACAAATGAGACATCTGAAGAAAATGATGAATCATCCAGAAATAGATGTCCCAAGAAAAAGAGTAAATTGGCCTGTTGGTAAATCACATCTCCAACAGAATAAAATTTCATAAATCTTCTCAAATGTTTGTTTTTGCTACTGTCTATGGACATATAATGCAAATGGTCTTTTTGTAGTCCCAGTACAATTAAAAATTAAAGTTGGCTTTGGACCTGGAGTGTGGCTCTCTCCTTCTCTAAACCCAAGGATGCTTATTAAAGGAAAATCCAAAATCTCTGTCTCATGTCAGAAGAGCCACTGATATGGGATAGAAGAAAAAAAAAAGAAATTAGGGACTAGTCTAATGCCACTAATCTCATAATCCTTTGATTTCATTTTGACTCTTTAAAGCTTTTCTTAAGGTATAAATATTATCTCAAAAATTATAAGATTATATGTATTTTTAACTTTTTGTCATGATACTAATGGTCATATAGAGTACTAACTAATTCTATAAAAAGGCTCCATCTAGCTTCCTGTACATGATTTTGGGTTTGAGTCTCTATCAGGTGACTAGGAATTAAGTTTTTGTCCTCTGGATGTACATAACAAATTATGGTCCTTTAACCCTTCAAGATCTGACAAATGTGACACTTAAAATATTTAAGCTTTCTGCAGAGAACCATGACTGGCCTAACAACAACCTTTAAAGTCTCCAAAAGAAGGATGGGGTGTGGTGATATATTATTTATGATTTAATAAAGCTTGCTTGAGGGTTCAGGACACAAAGCCAGTCACAAGCTATAGGTCAGGCAATGGTGGTACATACCTTTAATCCCAGGACTCATGAGACTGAGACAGGTATATGCCCAAGAGTGGCATTGCCAGATTAGCCAGATCTTTGGGTAGATCTGATCCCAAATTTCTGAGGAACTGCCATGTTGATTTCCATAGTGGCTGAATAAATTTGTACTCCCACTATCAATGGAGGAGTGTCCCCCTTGCTCCATAGTCTCAACAGCATGAGCTGTCACTTGCATTATCGATCTTAGCCATTCTGACAGGTGTAAGATGGAATCACAAAGTAGCTTTGATTTGCATTTCCTTGATGACTAAGGATGCCAAACATATTTTTAAGTTTTTCTCAGCCATTTTAGATTCCATATTGAGGATTCCCTATTTAGATCTGTATCCCATTTTAATTGGATTATTTGTTATGTTTATGTCTAATTTCTTGAGTTCTTTATATATTTTGACATTAGCCCTTTATTGGATATGGAGTTGGTGAAAATCCTTTCCCATGCTGTAGGCTGCCATTTATCCTATTGACAGTGTCCTTTGCCTTATAGAAGCTTTTTAGTTTCATGAGGTCCCATTTTTTAATGGTCAATTTTAATGCTGTTGGTGTTCTGCTTAGGAAATTGTCTACTGTGCCAATGCATTCAAGGCTAAACACTATTTTCTCTTCAGTATGTCTAGTTTTATGTTGAGGTCTTGGAATCACTTTGGACTTGAGTTTTGTGCAGGGTGATAGATATGGATCTATTTCATTCTTCTACATGCAGACATCCAGTTAGACCAGCACCATTTGTTGGATACACTTTCTTTTTTTCCATTGTATATTTCTGGTTTCTTTGTCAAAAATTGGGTGTCTATAGGTGTGTGGATTTTTAGTTCTGCTGATTACCTTTTTTATGCCAATACCTTGCAGTTTTTATTACTATGGCTCTGTAGAACAAGCTGAAATCAGGGATGGTGATATCTCCAGAAGTTCTTTTATTGATCGGGATTGTTTTAGCTATCTTTTTTTTTTTTCCATGTGAAACTGAGTATTGTCCTTCAATGTTTGTAAAGAACTGTATTGGAATTTTGATGGGGATTTCATTGAATCTGTAGATTGTTTTTAGTAGGATGGCCATTCTTACTAGGCTAATTCTACGGATCCATAAGCATGGGAAATATTTCTATCTTCTGCTATATTCTTCAACTTCTTTCTTCAAAGACTTGAAGCTTTGTTATAAGATCTTTTGCTTGATTAGGGTTATCCCAAAATATTGTTTGTGGCTATTGTGTAGTATGTTGTTCCCTGATTTCTTTCTCAGTCTATTTTATATAGGAGGGCTACTGATTTTTTTAGTTAATCTTGTATCCAGCCAGTTCACTGAAGGTGTTTATTAGCTGTTGGAGTTCCCTGGTAGAATTCTGAGGGGTCGATCATGCATACTATCATGTCATCTGCAAATAACAATACTCTGACTTCTTCCTTTCTAATCTGTATCCTCTTTATCTCCTTCAGTTGTCTTATTGCTCTAGCTAGAACTTCAAGTACCATATTTAGTAGATATGGAGAGAGTGAACAGCCTTGTCTTGTTCCTGATTTGGGTAGAATCGCTTTGAATTTCTCTCCATTTAATTTGATGTTGGCTACAGGCTTGCTGTAAATCATTTTTATTATGTTTAAGTATGTCCTTTGTATCCCTAATCTTTCAAGGATTTTTATCATGAAGTGCTGTTGGATTTTGTCACAGGACTGTTCTACATTTAATGAGATTATCATGTGTTTTTTCTTTCAGTTCATTTATGTAGTGGATTACTTCTATTGATTTTTACATGTTGATCCACCCCTTCATCTTTGGATTGAAGCCTGACTGATCATGGTGGATGATCTTTTTGATGTATTCTTGGATTCAGTTTGCAAGTATTTTGTTGAGTATTTTTGCATCTAAGTTAACAAGGAAAATTGGTCTGTAATTCTCTCTTTGGGGGAGGGGGTCCTATTTGTGTCATCTTTAGATACATAGGAATTTCAAGACCAAAATGGGAAATGAGATCTTTTCTTTAGAAAAATTGTAAAATAAACAAACAAAAATAATTCAGTGTTTTGATTTTTCAAAATCAGCCACTTATCAATACAGGAACAACACCACTTAAAAACAGTTCAGGGATGTAAATAGGCATCTATTTACACACATGGGCAATATACACATGTTAAAAGGCTCAAGCTCACTGGTCATTAGAAATGCAAGCTAGAGTGCTAGAGAGATGGCTCAACAATTAAGAGTGCGTATGTCTCTTCATCAGACCAGAGTTCCATCCCCAGAACCCACATCTGCCTGCTCACAACCTCCTACAACTTCAGATCCCAGGGATCTGACACCCCTTCTGCACTGTGCAAGTACTGGAACACATATGGACATATGGCATACACATAGGCACATAGGCACACACACACACACACACACACACACACACACACACACACACACACACAAATAAATAAATAAATAAATAAATAAATAAATAAATAGTTTTAAATGATATGCAAGTCAGTACTATCAAATGGAGGCTGAGATGTGGCTCTGTTGGCTGAGTGCTTGTCGAGAATATACAGAGCCCTGGGTTATGTTCTCAGAATCATATAAAACATGTGTGGTGGCACACACTTGTCATTTCAGTATTTGGGAAATGAAGACACATGAATCAGGAATTTGGGGTTATCCTTGTCTATAGAGAGTTCAAGGCCAGCCTGGGGTATGTGAAACTCTGTCTGAAAAAACAAACAAAAAGTAGTGAGTTGGCTCATGGGGTCTTTCCCATGTAAGTTTGAAGATGTGAGCTTAAATTTAATTCTTCAAACTTATGGTGGAAGTCGAGAACCAGCTCCTACAAGTCATCCCCTGACTTCAACATGCTTCATGGGATGCACATGTGCACACACAATAATAATAAGATAAAACTTTTTGAGGAATTGAGAAAACAAACCATGGAGGCTGGAGAGATGGCTCAGCAGTTAAGAGCACTGACTACTCTTCCAAAGGACCTGGGTTCAATTCCCAGCACCCCACATGGCAGCTCACAACTGTCTGTAACTGCAGTCCCAGGGGACCTGACACCCATGGCAAAACACCAATGCACATAAAATAAAAATAAACAAATTTAAAAAACAAAAAACAAAAGCATAATAAAAGTGTTATTTGCATTGTAATGTAATAAAAACATGATGTAGGTTTCCTCTTCGGTGAAATAAGCCAGACTGAGAACTTCGGGTCTAAACATTTTTTTCTGTTATGTGCAGAATCTAGAAAAAGCAAAATGCTGTGAAAGTAGAAGAACAATCATTAGAGATGTTGAGGGGAGGAAGAAAGAAGAGAGAGCAACTAAGGGGCAAATGAGATCGAATCACACTATGGGTAACTTTGCCAATAACAATTTAAAGCTACAATGAGACATTACTTCACACCCATTTCAAGAACAATTGCTAAAAATAGCTAGTGGCAACTTCTGAAGGGGACAGAGGAACTGAAACACCTGGTACCACTACTGAGAATGTGACATGGTGCAGCTGCTGCAGAGAGCTTGATGGTGGAAACTCCAATAGCCACAGACAAAAGGAGCATCTGAACCAGCAACAGTCTCTGACTCTGCACACTGGAGGCTGACATCAGGGTCTTAAGATAAAGCCCATGATCTGTGGACAAGGACCAGAACCCTGCTTGTGTCCAGCTGACCAATGTTCAGAGCTCACTGTGTGTTTGACTAATGGATGGAGTGAATAGATTCAGGCTTCAGTTATCCCAGGCCATCCTACTGCTCAGACAGTCACCGCAACCCTACAGCACCTTGCATCCTTTAGTACTGACCACCTGATGAGTGCAGAGTAGGCTGTGACACTGTGAGGCTGGGGATGAGGGCCCCAGCCCATGCTATAAACAGTTGTGCACAAAGTCGCTCAGAAGTTGAGTGTGGTACAGTGAAATGCTGGCTTCAGGGCACAACATAGCCATCGCAAATAAGCAGCCACAGCAGCCAGGGTTGCATACACTGAGCGTGTATGAGATGGGGCCTGTCCATAGTCAATCACAGACCAGGAATTGATATAGGAGGACCTACCCCTCTATGTCCACTAGTTTTTGTCAACTTGACACAAACAAGAGTCATCTGAGAAAGGTAACCTCAACTGAGGATTTGTTTCCAACCGACTGATCTATGGGGCTTTTTTCATTGCTAATTGATGGGGAGGGTCCAGCCCACAGAGGGATTCTGCAACACTTTCTCTACTCACTCACAGAAGCCCAGGAACCCTTTTCAGTGCAGCTGCTCCTGCTGCTGCTCTTGGTGTAGTTAGGTGACAGGACACTCAGAGCCAAGCCTCCTACTGCCACAGAGTGCAAGGATGATAATAAATACAAGCCGGAAGTGTTGGAGATGGTGATGGTACAGGAGGGTCTCTGGGTCCTCGTGCCCTGAACATTCACCTATCCCTCCACCAGTTCTGCTGAGTTTATGGCTACAGGTTCCACACAGGGGATGACACAAGTTCAGACTCCTCGGTGGCCACAAACAAGCCAGAATGGCAAGTGCTGAAGGAGACCCAGGGCCGATTCCACCTCACAGGGGACAGGCTGAGCAGCAACTGCTCCCTGGATATCACAGATGCACAAAGAGGTGGCAATGGTTCCTACTTTCTTCATGGGAGAGAAAGGAAGCTCACAATGGAGTTGCTGTGGGAAGCGTGTGTCTGTGTATGTGACAGGTGAGTTGTGGGCTCTCGACATTTGGGAACGTCGTGGTGCTGCAGGACAGACCAGGGATGGGACCCCATTCTGAAAGTGGCTGGGGCTGGAGCATCAGGATTCTCATGGGAGCAAAAGCAAAGCCAGGGCTTTTCTTCACAGCTGCACCTCACCCACTTCTTGATTCTACATGGCTACCCTTTCCTCACCAGCCCTCACACATTCTCCCACTGGAGACCCTGAAACCTGGCTGTCCCAGAAACCTGACCTGCTCTGTGCCCTGGGCCTCTGAGAGGTGGACTCCTCCCATCTTCTTATCAGCTGCCCGCAGTCACAGCAGCTGACAGGAGGAGAAGATGGGAGGTGACTCTTCTCTCCTTAGTTTTGGCCCTCACACCCAGGCCTCAGGACCAAGGTACCAACCTCACCTGTCAGGTGACCTTCCCTGGAGCTTGTGTGACTGTAGAGAGGACATTCTAGCTCAATGTCACCTTCGAGTAAAGGCAGAACACCCTGTCCACGAGGATGTAGAGACAGGAAAGTAAGGCTGGAGACCCATGGTGGGTGAATCCTGAAAACTGGATGAACGAGGGACACAGAAGGACACAGAGCCTATCTATCCTTTTACTAGGCTGATTTCGGGGGGGGGGGTGTCAGGGGCTGCTGCCTCACCTCATGTTCACACCAAGAGAGGAGAGAACCTCATCTCTGTGTATATGCTGCAGAGAATCCTCACTCCATGCCTCCCAGCATGAGGCCAGCAGTTGCTGGAGACTCAGCTGAACCAACCTCTCTCAGATTTGATGTGGAAGGTTCAACATGAACCACCCATCAAGCCTCCTCCCCAGTGATTTCTGATACTTGCAGAGATATTCATGAGGGACCAGTAACTGTGGTCCCCTACCCCTTTGTGCAGATGTTGTTCCGCTAGTCAGTGACCCTCCTGGGGGAATTTTTATAAAATGATCTTTCATTTTCAGATTGGCTTAAGTTCCACAGTAGAATTGAGGAGTAAATACAAGAATTTCCCACATACCTGCTGCCCTCACAGTGTACAGCCTCCTGTGGTACCATAAGATGTTCCATTGTCACAAAGGACGAATCTTCATAGACATGTCATCATCAAGGTGCACTATTTCACATGTGGGCTCCACCATAATGGGGTCAAACAGAATATTGAGGATGCTTTGTTATCATATTGTTGTTACTGTTGTTGTTTGTTGGCAATCTTCAAGCTCTTATCCCTGACCCCTCCCAACCATTAGCACTCCCTACCCTGCCCTGCTCATGGCATGAGATCTTTACTGGACAATGAGCCTATAAGAGCAGGGAAGGTTTCCTCAGCCGTGTAAACAAGAGATACTGAAACAGGTACCTGATTCTGGGTGATAGGATCCCAGGAAGCACCACCAGGCAGAACCTGGGTTTTATTAGAGGTTCCAACAACCACCCTCCTAACCATTCTGATCTAACCTCTTACATAGGCACAGATGGCCACATTGATCCTGAGGGATGGACAAAAGAGACCTGGAGAGGGACTCACAGCATCCATGGGAAGAAGAGAAAGTGTGAACCTATGTACTCTCTGTCACTGTCTATAGTTGAATGCTTCGGAGAACAAGATTCTGGCCCTGCTGTTACCAGCACATAGTTGGGGGAGATCTTTTTGCTCTGTTGGTCAAGAAACTTGTAATTGTCTTTATCACTTTCTGATCCCTGTTTCCAGGGTGTAAGGGCTAAGAGACCTGCTCCAGCCCCTACCTAGGGTTCCAAAGGTGAAATGCTTCTCAGGAGCGAAGGAGGGGGCAAGAGATTTCTATAGTAACTTCTCACACAATCTGAGGGTCATGCTCTTTATTTCCTGTGCTTTTTATTGTTCCATTTCTACTCTAATAATACTAACTTCTCTGTTTTTCTACTTAAAGCTTCTTCTGCTTCTCTAAAAACTCTTCTCCTTGAGGAGCCTTGAAGTGATAAAGAAGTTTCTTTCATTGGCCAAAAGCACATTCCTAGAGCAAACAATAAGGAGCTGAGCCGTTTACCATGGCAACACAAGGGTCTGAGGCCATAGAAGCAAAACCATGACCAGACATGGAGGGTACAATGCCCAATGACAATTTTAATACACAGGTCTATTGTTAGTGGAGTGGCAAGTGAAGAAAAGACACGCATTAAGGTTAACGTGAGGTTAGCTTGGGATCTGCTAGCAGAGAGGATCCGGGACACTATCTCTCTGAGAGTTATGGCTCAACAACTTCAGATATGCCATAATTCTTTTCCTTGAGCGTCTGTGAATGTCTCAGTTGAGGCCTCTTTGCCTAGACACTAACACTGACCAACTGTCTGTCAAGGAAGATAATTCCAGAGGGGCAGGCACCTAAGTTTATACAAAGACCTGGTTGAGGGAGTAAGGGTATTGACTGTGATTATTTTCTTGCCAGAATCGCACAATGCTGGCGGAGTAGAGGGGCTATTCAATATACCAATGCATAGGGGAAAGTGTGCCTAGTAAATGATCAATAAACTGCTGCAGTGTGGGGGATGAATCTCACCAAGAAAGAGAGTACTGTGGCCTCCCTCACAGGGAATTCACAGTAAGGACAGCGACTATTCATAAAGCAAATACTCCCACCATCCTGCATGAGGGCCTCCTCCATTGGAATGATCCCAGTGGGTTCGCTCCATGATTTTTGTCAGCTAGGTTCTCACTGCATAACTCTGCCATGCATAGCACCCAGGTGTTTGGCAGCAGTAAGCAGAGGCAGGTGGCACCCCCTAGCGTTTCAGTTCTGCAAGTCACCAGTGTTAGGACCATCGGCCCTTCAAGAGTTACAGTTCTTCTTGCCTAGGTTTAGGATGCTGGAATTTCTCTGCCTTGAAAGCTCCCTGAAGACCTTCTGGGTTCTCAGGATGAATTGTCCTCTGACTCCTCACAGGTCCTTAACTCTCTTCTCATCTTACTCTCAGCTCTCTTCTGATGGCTTCTCCTCAGTCCTTTGGAGATTCTGAAAGTGTCCTGCTGCTGTCAGGGGCTGGCTGCCTCGTCCCTCCTCACTGCCTGCTGACTTCTCAATAGTTGTTCCCCTCTCTCTCAGCTAGCAACACCCCTACTGTGCTTTCTCTTCTGCTTCCTTCTTCTTGGTGCCAGCTCAGCCTATGCTACTGAAAAAAAAGACAAGAAAACCTACACTTCAAAAGAAACTTTTCATTAGACCTAATGCTGTGACACTGTGACACCTATGTTTTCCAGCCCACTCTGAAAGAAGCCAGGGCAGCCTGTGTCTATAACCTAAAAGAGTGTTTCGACCAATCACAGCCTCATCTCTTCACAGGGGTCCCTTTCCTCGTCCACTGGGGAAAACCCTCCCACTGTGGTTCCAGTAAAAAATCGTTTCAGAGTCATTTGGAGTTCTTTGAAAATTGTGGAAGAAAAAAAAAAGTCTCCTACAAACCCCTCTGACTGGGGTTGGCCCTTGAGGAACCAAGACAAGCCTGGAAAGTACTCCAGTTGTCTATTGTTTACATCAACAGAGTAGCTAGCTGGCTGCTTAACTAAGAACCTTTTGCTCAAGGGAGCCAAAGCAGCAAGGGACAGTCCAACACCTACTAACTGGGGAGTCAGATTGCCCCATCTCCCAACATTTTTGCCTGCTTACAAGAAAGTAAACTTCAGAAGGTAGCCTTACAACAAGAACAAAGAATGAAACATTAACCTCACAGAGACTGTCACAGATTTCAACGTTTGCCCAGCGCTCTGGAGAGAACTGTCCTTCTCATTATTTGTCTGTGTGTCTGACACAGAGATTTCTGGTGGAGAGGAATATGGGTCCTGGGAGAGATGGACTCGAATGGACAGGGATATGACCTGGACAAGAGAGCTCAGGTGGACTGCATGCTTTCTCTGAGATTCTAAAAAAAGCTGAGATATGTGGTAGGAAACAGACTTGGTTTCTGGACCCCATCTCAGAGGTGAGGCCCCTGGAGTGGTACAGGTGTGTTCATCAAGATTGAGCTCACCCCAGTCTCCTCCTTCAGCAGGGAACCCAGGAACAAAATCAGCTTCAGGGGCAGTTCTGGTGCCACAGCTCTGCTCTCTATCTCCATTGGCCTCTCATCCTTTCGAAAACTTAAAAATTAGCAAAGAAATATAGCCCAGAAACTGACCAAGGCTACTACTATGACTTAGTGCCTGGAATTTACCAGCCACCAGCAATTACTCCCTTACAAGGCCATAAGATAACTGGGGACCAAGAATTTCCAGATGGCCACCCTCCCCGCGGGGCTCATGAAGGAAACAGATTGCCCCACTGGCCAGTGTGTCCCTCATTAACAATTAAGGGTCCCTATGAAACAAAGAGATAGCTACCATTAGTTAGCACATCCTGAGGTCTACAGGTTTTACAACTGGTGGGGTCAGGAGGTCATCTGATTCCCAGGCCTCCCCTCAAGACAAAGTGCTTCCTAGGAACCCTTGACTCTGGTCACACATTTAACGGACAGAGAGTCGAGGCCCCTCCCTAAGCTTATGGTTTTTGCCTTTAAAATGCCTGTGCCTGGGGGACAGGGCTGCTGTCTAGCCTGCATGCTGAGAGAGCCTGTTTGTACAAACGTCTACCTTTCATTAAAGCCTCTTGCTGTTTGCATCAGGTTTCTGTCTCCTACCTGGTGGTTGGGGTGGCCTCAGTCCTGGGAAAAGATTCTGGAGGCCTGAGCTTCCGGGGGTCTTACACCTTTTGTTTTATTTTGTTTTTTGTTTGTTTCAATTATTGAGACAGAGTTTCTCTGTGTAACTTTGGAGCCTATCCTGTGACTCATTCTATAGACCAGGCTGACCTTGAACTCACAGAGATCCTCCTGCCTCTGC